CTCTCTCTCTCTCTCTCTCTCTCTCTCTCTCTCTCTCTCTCTCTCTCTCTCTCTCTCTCTCTCTCTCTCTCTCTCTCCTCATTTTGTCCAATGTCACGATTTCTGCAGGCGTGCCGTGCCCTGCCACATCATTTCCAATCGAATGGACCCATTGTGCACATCATGCAACTGATAGATATCAGCAAGTTTTCCGTTTCGAACCACATCTGACAAGTCAACAGCAAGTCTCCCAAGGAACTTATCATTCGCGAAGTAGTCCGTACTCTTGCTGTACACCTCAATCAACAGCTTTTTCCCAACTGGAGCTCCATCAAGCAGAAACTCAAATTCCTCTTCCCACTTCACGCGCGTTCTCTTCTTCATTACCTGAGCAACAACATACAAGTATTGAATCCCATCATTGCCATCAACATGAAAAATAAACTCAAATCACAGCAATGACATAAAGTTATAAACCCAATCCCACATCCAACCAAACTTGACCAATTGCACTTTGAGGTCACCCAATATCTACTAGGCTACCAGAATGGCCCATGGCCAATTGCCTGGCCGGGCCAAAAAGAAACAAAAACAAAGAAGAAGGGGCAAGCGGCCTTTTTTTCTTTTCTTTTCTTTTAAAGCGCAAGCGGCCTAGATCAGTTGACTAGGCATGCAAGTGGCATTCAGGAGGTCGTGGGTTCAATAGCCACTGACCGCCTGGGCACGCTTAGTGCCAACCAACTGAAATAGTTGGCTTGCTACCCCCGAGTCTTTATTGATAGTGTCTTTGGCCATAACGGCTGGGTGTGCGGGGGAGCGGGGGAGGTAGATGGGAGACTCCGCTACTGGCAAAATGCCTGGTCTTTGCATTAGCCTCTCCCCCCCCCCACCGGTGGCCACAGCCTCTCCCTAAACCACCGCCGGTTAGGGCGGGGATCAACAATACAACCGCAACATGCAACAGGCAGGGCCAGGAACGGCAAAACAACAATCGGGAGCCCAAAACAGCAACAGATTTCAGGCGTTACAGAAGGAAAGTGCAATGTCAGAATTCATGACGCAGCAGTATGGCCTCAAAACAAGAGTGGAGGGCGACACCTTCCACATAGACAACACCGCATACACTTGGCAGTTTGGATGACCAAGCACCTACGCGGACAATGGCGAGCTACCAAACAAGGCCAAACAGGGCAAGAGAGCACAGGGGAAGACAGAAGAAGTGGCACACCCAAGACAAGAGGCCAGGGCACAGACACAGCCTGGCACGATTGTGGATTTTCGAACGAGGAAGCACATCGTGGTGGCACACGTAGCCTCATTCACAGTGAAGAACAAACAGTCTCTGGAAAGAATTGCAGACGGAGTGCTCATTACAATCACAAATGAGATGCTCAGGGATGGCACGTTTGCGGGCCAGTTCAAGATGCACTCACGCCGATGTTCACTTTGGGGGGATGCCACGGCAACACAAAAGAATGGAAGGATGCTGCAGGCCAAAAGCACGTGCCGGACCTGCGTCCGGTGTTGATCCATGCGTCCGAACAGCTTATCCTCACGGACGAGCTGGAGTGGGTGTCGTGGCAGATGGTGGAGTCCAGCCCCTATGGACTACTGGGACAGGGGATGTCCCCGGAGAGGGAAGCCTTCGGAGAGGCCTTGGTTTCTAGCCACAGGCTGTTCCTTGCGGACGGGGCGAGCTGGCACAAGAAAATCAACACGTTGGCTGAGAAAACCGAGGCCTGCTACCTCAAACACTAGATGCAAGCCAAGATACATGAGCTGGAACCAGTCCCCAAAACTGCAGCATGGATGACCCGGTCGAAGCATCGGCACACAGAGCAGCAACGCAGATCCCCGATCTGAAGGTAGTGTTGCGGAACATCAACGGCCTGGCCACCATCCTTAGCGATCGACATAAATGGAACAACATCACACGCGCACTGGACTGGTACGGAGCCCATCCTCCAGACATCATCAGCCTACAGGAGACACACCTGTGACCTGACAACATCAGTGGAACATGAACAGGTACAACAGGAGATGCTGAGAAGGTTGAGATGGGTCAAAGACGCCCACTGGGCCCCGGCACCAAGGCCAGGCTCGGCGGGTATGGCGATCCGGATACACAGCAAGGCGGGAGCAGCACAGAATCTGCAGACAGAAACAGCTCTGACACACACCCAGGAGGGAGATGAGTGATTCTTGACTTAAGCCTAAAGCAAGATCACATTCGTTTGGTTACATTCTACTGTCCAAATGCTCTTAATCACAGAGGGCAACCCTTCTACAAACAATAGCACCACAATGCACCAGCCCAGCACACCTGTTCCTGGCTGGGGACAGGAACGCAGTTCTGGACCCGGGCCTCGACCGGCTGTCGGGCGGGACCTCAGGATTCGAAGGAGCGGTGAATAAGGTGGCGCCCAGGCTTTACTTACCTCAAACGCAACCGCAGCCAGCACGTATCAGCGTCGCGAATAGAAATTTTTCCTAGAATCAGAAGGTCTCAGAGGAGCAGTGCAGGCAACGGGCATAAGTCAGCTGCCGTATACCCCGGGGCTAGACCACAAATTCATATACCTCAATGTTGCACTGGATGCAGCACCAAAATGCAGACCGGGCTTCTTCCAGGTCAACCACTCGCTCTTGGAGACACAAATCATGAGAGAGAATATCCTCCGTGTCTGCGAAGCACACGGTACGCAAACTACAACGTTCCCACAGCTAGTGGGCAGCCTGTCCAACACCACAGCCAAAGCGTCCCGCATTCTGGCTCCCAGACGGACGGCGAAAGAAAGGTAGCTACAGGCCATCCTTCAGGTGGCAGAACAGAACTCAGTGGTACCCCCGGGCGACACACAGCTGGAGAACGCGCTGTTTGGAGCAAAACAGCAGCTGGCAGACTGGATGAAGTGGAAGGAGGCTGGCATCCATCCGGCTGCGAGCTAGAGTGAAAGAGTTGGATGAAGGCGAAAAAATGACTACTAAGCATTTCCAAAAAATAAACGCTGACCCCCGCAACAAGCTCATCGACCTTAGTGGTTAAAAAAAAAAAAAAAAAAAAAAAAAACGCATCGACCAGCTGCAGACGCCGGAAGGCCTGGCCTCAGACCCTCAGCAAATGCTACAGGTCGCAGCGGACTTCTATATAGGGAGCTGTACACCTCTGGAGAATCTCCAGTCGGGACAGGTGCGGGAAGCATGCCACAAGTTCTTGACCCGCCTGGACAGGACTGTAGCTCAGGAAGTTTCTCGGTAAGAAGTTGAAGCCTACAATTGAAGAGGTGTGCCGTGAAGCAGGCGTGGTGTACCGTGGAAGACCCGAAGCCGTGGACGAACTGGTTGAAATTAGAGTGATGAACCTTGGCACTGAGAGATCTCGACATGCAGTCGAAGTACCGGCAACTGGCCGACCAGCAACTGGCGGACCAGTTGCAGGGAGTAATAACTCCCGTGAAGAAGGATCGTTGGAGTGAATTGAGTAAGTGCCCGAAGTAACGTAGGCTATTTAAATCTGATCCAACGATTGGCACCAAGAAGTTGTGTGAGGTGCTTCAGCGAGTGCTGAGGTATTTATTTGTCCTGCTAGTCTCGAATGGGGAAGTCCAGTGGGGTGCGAAATTTTTGAAAAGATGGTATAGTTTAGTTGAGACTGATCTTGAAAAATGGGAGAAACTGAGTTGTTGTGTACATGTTTTAATAAATCCAGGATTACGACCTGTGTATATTGGGCAAACGAGTCGCGAGTTGTCTACTCGGTGGGATGAGCATGTTAGTAGGTCGGGAAAAGTGGAGAGTAATCGGAACTCACTGCTGTATAGTTGGCTGAGATATCAAGGCTCGGATAACTATATAGCATTGCCTATTGCTTTCGTACCGGTTGAAGACCTTGAGAGGGTGGAAAAGGTTTTTATTGGGAAATGGTCCCCTAGTTTGAACTCGAAAGGGAAGAAAAAGAAGGCAAGAAGGCGATGTCGAAAGGGAAGGAAGGAGAGGAAGGAAGGGCGATCTCTGAAGTCAAGAAACGAGCGACCACTTGTTTTCGATACTCCGGGTCTCAGGACCGTAAAACTAACGGATGTTTGTCGTTTGGCCTGGAAGGAAGGGAAGCATTTTCATTCGGAGGGAGGGACAGTTTGGGGGCAGGGATGGGGTATTATTACTAAAGAGATTGGTAACAGTAAGATTAGAGTAGCAGGGGATATTAAGTCTGTAAAAGAAGCGAAGAAGGAACTTGAGTATGGGGGAGATTTCGAGATCATTCGGCTGGAAGGGAGAACACTGTCAAAAGAGAAAGCTGGCTTAAAGAGGGAGCTATACCAGGTCATCAGGAACCCATGGTATAAGAGAAAATTGTATAAGTATGAGCTGGATAGACTGATTCAACTTACGTCAGCAATTAATCTGTTCTCTAGAGCCGGAACTCGAGCTTCTTTGAAGGACGTATTAGCGGGAGTAATTTGGCAGAAGTTTCGTTTTAATATTAGGAAGTCGTTTTGTGTCGGGATTACGTATGATCAAGCTTTGTCAAGTCGTGCCATTCGAATGTTGATTGTTAAGAAAATTCGCGCAGCTTTGCCTGAGTCCTTGGCCACATTCACGTGTCGAAGACTCCTAATCACGTGGAAGAAAAACCGCACGATTGGGGAAGTCCTTCATAACCACCGACATGCCTCGCAGCAGTTGGTGGGAGTTTGCACTTGTGCTGACAGTGCCCTCCCACGTGTGGAGGGTCACGTGCAATGTAGGTTGAGTGATCTGGAAGGCATCAGCGAGTTTGTGAAAACGCTCTGAACATTCTGTATGTGGCCGCGCCTACCCGTGAAAGGATGGTTATGCGGGAGGTGAATGATAGTTTGAGTCGGATGGGGATCAATACGACTGTTGGATTGAATGAGATTCATGGATGTGTTGGTAAGAAGCAGATGGGGGGTGAGGATTTCACAGGGGAATTGGAGAAGGTCAAAAACCTGTGCTCGGGGATGGCCTGTTCCGCAGTTGATCGTAATCTTGTGTCCAGTGATTTATGCAAAAGCGATGGAGAAGACTTTCTGGGGAAACGAGAGTTTTGTAGCAAGATGGGAATCTGAAGCAGAAATTCTGACGCAGTGTGAGGCGGAGTATAAGGAACGGAGGTTGAATGTGGAGTTGGGGAAGTGGGACAGGCAGGGAAGGCTCGGTCGGGCGTATGTTATTCCAAAGAATAAGGATATTAGTAGGTTCCGGCCGATCAGTCCTTCGTATACGGAGCCGTCTCGTATGGCTGGGAGGCGAGTGACGAAAGCCTTGAATTATCTGTTGTATTTACTCCCGAAATCTGAGCACTTTAACCTGAAGTCCACGAACATGTTGAAGGAGAGGCTTGAAGAGGTAAATCGGTGGGTCAAAACAAAAGGAGGTGGAACCTTGACTGGGGCAGCATTTGACATCAAGGAGATGTTTAGTCAGCTACCCCATGACTCGATTCGTAAGGCTGTCGATTGGCTGCTGAGTTGGTATAAAAAGAAGGGTAAATCAAGTGTGAACATACGGAGGAGAGGGAAGGGGGCGGCGTTCTCGCAAAAAATGGGTGATGAAGCGTGGTTGGAAGTAAGCTTCGATACAATCAAGGGAATGGTCAATTTCGAATTGCAGCATACATACGTGTTTGCTTCCGATCGATTGGTTCAGCAGTGCGTAGGCATACCAATGGGAAAAAGTAGTAGTCCCCCATTGGCATGTATCCTGTGTGCTTTTAACGAGTTCAAGTTCCTGCAGAGCTTGGGGAAAGATAGACACCTGGTTAAAGGGACGAGGCTTATTGATGATGTCTCCCTTTTCATCTGGTGTCCGACAAGGGATGGCCAGAAACGGGTTGAGAGGATTTTGTCGGAGTTTGGTAATGCCTATGATGAACGTCTCATTCTGAAAAGAACTGACCAAGGGGATGGTATGTGGGATTTTCTGGGGACAAAAGTTGAGATCATAAGTAATTTGGTGAGATGTCACAGTCATCCTAAGAATTTTGAGGAAGTGTGGAACGGGAAGGAGTTTTCTTACCGAACTTTGCAAGATTTCGGGTCATACTCTACAATCAGACAGAAGAAAGCAGTTATTACGAGTGCTCTGCACAGGATGCAGCGGATGACGTCAGACGAAGAGTCTGTTGGACTGAGTTTACTGACCTTGAAGCGGCAGCTTCGTCGGCAGAATTACCCAGGTTGGATTTTTAATAAGTGTCTCTGGAAATTTATTTTGAGAAAAGCGCCGAGTTGGGAAAAATGGGGGAGGAGGTTTGGCAGTTGGTAGTAGATGCTGTGGAAGGCTTCGAACTTAGGATCTAACGATTCTTCACAGCAGGAATGGATAAGCAGGGAACAAGTTTCGATCTGGTGACTTACTCGAGTAGGGACGGGAAACCTCGGAACCCTCGGGGGAGGCCAACCGGGTACCGGGACCAGGTAAAAATCGGGAAGGATCTTTGTTTGACTCGAACGTGGTCCGAGATGAAGTCTTGATACTTAGCTGGTTGGACCTGATTCTAAATAATTTTAAAGCTTCCGGTAAGTTCTAGAAATAGACTGGGACCAGGGATCGTACCGACACAATAAGAGGGCAAGGATTCAGAACTGCGAGAAGAGCAAGACAGTGTGACCACCTAGTATAAGTAGTGTAGGAGGTTACTTACCAAACATCTCGAAATATCCCCCTGATGAGGTCGCTCACTGGCGGCGGCTGAAACTAGTAGGGGATGCCAGTTCGTTCGTCTCTCCGGGTCTTCACTGTTTTATTTTGGCGGCGAGGGAAGAACCGACTACCGAGCGTTTGTGCTCGGTATCTGGATCTCGGCGGGATGTGTATTATTTTTCGGAGATTTACTTTCGGGATTGTTTCTCGCATATTTCGCCGTCACTTTCCTGACGGTTATGTGTTGCTCTGAGTGTGTTCTTCGGTGACGTGCGCTCTGAGTGCGTCTTCGTTAACTCGCTCTTGCTTACTACTACTACTGTAGCTCAGCAGCAGATGGACGACCTAGACAAGCCGATTACTCAAAAGCCCAAGAGAAGCCTTGCACTCGCTGCAGCCGAACAAAACACTCGGCCGAGATGGGTTGTCAAAAGAATTTCGGCAAACCTTACGGCCGGTCTTTGAGAATGAGCACACGCAGTTTCAAGAGGCGCGGCCGAAGCAAAGTTTAGGCAGAACCTTCTGGCCTCTAGCGAGCCTGCTGGTTGAAATCCGACTACATGTGGGAACCATCATATACTGCTAGGCCAATGTACTTATACAGTGACGTTAGTTTGTGACGTCACTACCACTAAAGACATGTTTGTTGTAAATATAGACCACTCACTACAGCCAGAAAAATGGCTTAAAAAAAATGTGCCAAATGAAATCAGTTCGCTTTACTTTGCTATCTAGTATCTACTCTCCCATTCCCACGCAGGACCCTCCTAACTATCATATAGGGATACAACAACACCACCAAGATCTCTTTTTTTGTCTTTTTTTGACACCTGTAAGATGTGATCCAGCTACGAGAAAACCTTTCTCCGAGTTCTCAGGACTATCGGCATATGGATGATCTGAGAAGAGAGACAATGCCCCGAGGCCATCGATTCAGAAGCTAAAATTCAAAATTGGAACGATACAGAGAAGATAAGCATGAGCGGAGGGAAAAAAAAAAAAAAAAAAAAAAAAAAAACATTCAATACAATTGGCAATTGCTAAATTTTAAATTTACTATACATTTTTTGTATATCAGTTTGCAACTTTGCCGATACTGACTGAGCTCACGCGTCTGAAGGTCTGCACCTCTGAATGGTACACAGTACTACACACATGTAACTGGAGTTAAGACCCTGATGGCCTTGGCCTAGCACAATAAATGATAAATGTTGGGGGTTACCCGGCTACCCCTCAATTTCAATATTTTCCTTTGACTTGAAAAATAAACAAATTTAAAGAACACAATTGCTATACAATGTATACAAATACTATACATGTTTCTTGTACTTTGAATAAATGACTTAACGCAAAAAATCAAATTTCCTCATCTATTCAACATTCAGAATGTTTTTTCTATAAAAGGAAAAAGCCTCAAACAGGTCCAAAAAGCAAATCAGTTTGCTGCTGATGCAAACTCCACAAACTGCAAAGTTCCAAGTTGGAATCCAACCATATACTTACCCGGGTTCTTCTGCAGTCATCCCCGAGCTTGATCTCGCAATACGGATTGCACATGCCATTGTGCTCATCACCCAACTTGCGAGCTTCATGCACCGTCACAGACAAGAGTCCACCACCACCGGTGCTTCTGGCAGGTAGAACAGCCATAACGTCTCCGTTCTTGGCTGCTTCCATTGCTGTCACCAATTCGAATGGTTGAGGCACGGACAACTGCTCGCTGTTGCGATCATCCACCGCGAGCGGTTGGTACACAATCTCTATGTGAAGTTTTCCTGCAGCAGCAGAATTGGCGGCGCGCAGCAAGTTCGGCGCCATCACAGTCACCGCGCCGGGAACCAGTTGGCCCACTGAAACTTCAGCCGTACCCATCAGAGTGTCTGCAGAAATTCTGTGGTAATCCAAGACCTAAGTTCCACACCACAGACATGCAAACATACATCAGCAGTGGAGAAAAGCCAAACCGAGAAAAGAGAATAGCAGAAAGAAAGAAATAAAAAACGAAAAAAAAAAACTCAGAATGTTCCCAGGAAGGTCAGCTGTGACCTGCTGATGCAGGTAATCATTAAACTGCCAGTACACAGCCCCAGCCCTGTCTCTTATACACATCTAGATGTGTATAAGAGACAGGTCACCGCGCCGGGAACCAGTTGGCCCACTGAAACTTCAGCCGTACCCATCAGAGTGTCTGCAGAAATTCTGTGGTAATCCAAGACCTAAGTTCCACACCACAGACATGCAAACATACATCAGCAGTGGAGAAAAGCCAAACCGAGAAAAGAGAATAGCAGAAAGAAAGAAATAAAAAACGAAAAAAAAAAACTCAGAATGTTCCCAGGAAGGTCAGCTGTGACCTGCTGATGCAGGTAATCATTAAACTGCCAGTACACAGCCCCAGCCTTGCTGAAAATGTTTCGTCGCCTACTCCGAAAAAGTCCTCAGCGGCGCGCCATCAATAAAATAAATTGGCAGACGGTGTCGTGTTTCGTCCTCTGACAGCAGCCCGCGGCCGACGTGAGGCATGTACTGGTGGTTTGAGCGTTGATACCGGCAAGGGAAGGAGTACAGGAGCCTTGCAGCTGCCCTCTCTCTCCCTCTCTCTCTCTCTCTCTCTCTCTCTATCTATCTATCTATCTATCTATCTATCTATCTATCTATCTATCTGAGGATGGGAGAGGGAGAAGAAGAAGAAGAGAAGAAGACAGAGGAGGAGGAGGATGGTCGCACCATGTCGCATGCTGGGAGCTAGCTCTCTCTCTCTCTCTCTCTCTCTCTCTCTCTCTCTCTCTCTCTCTCTCTCTCTCTCTCT